AACACGGGAGAGAGAAGAGAAGAAACGAGAAGCAAATGACCACAACTGAAGCCTGGAGCCTGTGTGAAAAGAAAGCCAGTTTTAATTAAGGTGAACCAATAGAGAACGTTTAGGAAAAAGAAGTCTGATATTCAAGTCTATTTTTGCACTCTCTTAATGTAAACATCTTTCTCTTCTTCCCCAAGACTTCACCGAAGTGTGATACATCTGTACTCATATGTAAGGGGGTGAGTGGTGAATCCAAGCTTGAATGTGTGGTCTACCCCACATTCACTTCCTCCTGATGGTGGTGTGGAGCCAAGAGCATCATATGAAAATAACAATAGATTTGGAACTGCAGATGGCAATGAGCAGCGAAATGCATGGTGGTCCAGAAAAGTATCTCTTCTATAGTAACGGGAGGTGACTAGAGAAGGACGGAGACTGAGAACAAAATTACAAATATCTACTTCCTAGTGTTGTGGTAAAGATTGCTGTGAAATGGCTCATGCTATTTTCCTATAGAGGGTGTTGGTTTTTTTTTGTTTGCTCTAAATTCATTCAACAAATAGGCAATTGTGTGCCAAATAAGTGGCAGGCATTGTCCTAGGTCCTGAGAATATAGTTGTGAACAGAACAGACAAAGCCCCGCTTAGACCACTTAGTTTTGGGGAGTGGGAAGATGTGGCAATTACAGACACACAGAGAGAAATAGTAAACAAATGCATAAATAAAAGGTATAATAAATCAGATGGTGACAAGTGCTGCCAATCAAAATAAAGCAGGACAGGGAGATTAGGGAGTATCAGAGCATAGTGGGAGGAGGGTATGGTTTAAAAAGCAGAGACAGGGAACCCTCAATGCAAAGATGAATTTGAGCAAAGACCTGAAAGAAATGAGGGAGCAAGACTTGTGATTGAGAGAATTGTAGGTAGAGGGATTAGTTGAGGCCAAGGCCTTGATCTGGGAGTATGCCCAGCATGTTGGAAGATCCTTGAGGAGCCAGTGTGGCTAGAGAGAAATGGGTTGTGGGGAAAGTTGTAGGAGAAGAGGTTTTGGGAGATGGAGGGATGGGGGAAGATTGTATGTGTTGGATAAAGCTTGATGGGTACAGGATAGAGGTTCTGAACCCTGACTGCACATTTGAATCCACCTGGAGAACCCCCAACTTGATGCAACCAATCCTGACTTCACTGGGTTGAAATAGGACCTAAACTTTGGCAGGTTTTAAAAGGGCCCTAGGTAATTCTAATCTGCAGCCAGGATTGAGAACCACGAATGTGAGTAATGTAAGCAACTGGCAGGCTCTTTCCTGGGAGGGAAAGGAAGCTCTTGGAAAGTTTTGAGCAGAGGTGTGCAATGTTGTGTTCTGACTTAGACATTAAGATGATCCCTGGCTGGAAAATGTATGCAATCAAGTTATATCCAATATATCTTTTAAAACATTTAAAAAATCCTTGTCAAAACAAATCAGGGAATAAATTAAAACAAAGCTATGTTCCTGTTCCTGAAAGTGCTTGGCACATGATATTTGCTAAATAAATGTTAATGAATTACCATATCAAAGGGCTTTGTATGGTTTCATGAAAATATACAATGTTAAAATTACTGTGTAACAAAAAATGCTGTGTGTCTGAGGCAGTATATTTGGTATAATTGTGTTTAATATTATCCTTCAGTTTCTGATGGAAATTTGAGTGAAAACTAGTGAACTAGAAAAGAAAATACATATAGACATATTTTGTTTCTGACTTCTGAATATGAGAATAGCTTAGGTGCTTATCTACAAAACCTTGCTGAGATTGAAAATAAAATAATACCTATCTGTGATAAACTGTATGAAATTATTGTAAGAATAAAAAATAATAGAGAGAAAGGAAGTTAAATGATAAAAATCCTTTCAATACTGGGCTAAATGTTATTTATAACACTTGTGATGTGTTTTATTGTCATGTAAATTATATGCCTTTTTATCAAATTGCTTTTCTTTTTTGTGAAAAAAGAAAGAAAAACATTCTGTTAATAACAAAAAGCATTCTTTTCTGTTCTGTATTATTTGAAAAAATAGCTATAAAATATGAGTTCCAAACAGTGTTTCAATAAGTAGTAATTCTAGGAACTCTATAAAACTAAAATCCACCACTGTTTTCCAGAACTTAATACCCACATTCACCAGGAGAATTATTAACCCCCCCAATGCCCCTAGGTGTCATTATTTCAAAAATGTGTGTATTCTAATCATTATAAGAGAAATTAGAGTAATAAAGGAAAAAAAGGTTGGTGTCTATAATATAAGGCTGCTAATGCACAAATAGTAAAGCTATTTTTGTCTCAAAATGGGTGACCAAAATAAGTGATGAGTATATTCAGTGCAAACAGACATACACACACACACACACACACACACACATACACAAAAGAGTCTTGTTTGATTGTCTTAACACATTTCTCACTTCTCAATTTTATTATTATATTATAAAAAATCTCAACAATAAACAAAAGTAGATAGAACAGTATCATGAACTGTCCTTTATCAGTCACCCAGCTTCAACAATTTTTCCACTAATATTTGTAGTCCTGAAGTTGATTTTGTCTGATATTAAGAAATTCACTCCAATTTTCTTATAAATAGTGTTTTCTTGTTATATGTTTTTTTCTATCCTTTTACTTTTAACCTATGTTAGTCTTCATATTTAAAATACTGTTTTTTGTAGACAGCATCATTGAGTCTTCCTTTTAAAAATCCTGACAATCTCTGCTTTTTAAATGGGGGTGTTTGGACATTTATAGTTCCTGTAATTAATAACATGGTTACCTTTAAATCTACTATTTGGCTATTTGTTTTCTGTTTGCCACATCTGTTCTATGTCCCTTTTTTCCTTGTTTTAGACTAATTGACTATGTTTTAGTATTCCATTTAATCTGTAAGAGTAGCTTATTGGCTACACTTCTTTGGTTATTTATTTATTTATTTATTTTTGATACTTTACCTAGGATTTTTTTTTTAATGGAGTCTCACTCTGTTGCCCAGCCTGGAATGCAATGGCGCAATCTCAGCTCACTGCAATCTCTGCCTCCCGGGTACAAGCGATTCTCCTGCCTCAGCCTCCTGGGTAGCTGGGATTACAGGTGCTCGCCCCCATGCCCGGCTAATTTTTTATATTTTTAGTGGAGATGGGCTTGCACCATGTTGGCCAGGCTGGTCTTGAACTCCTAACCTCAGGTGATCCACCTGCCTTGGCCTCCCAAAGTACTGGGATTACAGGTATGAGCCACCAAGCCTGGTCTTTTCTAGAATTTATAATCTTCAACTTTAACTTAACACATTCACCTTCAAATAATATTGTACTACTTCAAATATAATAACCTTCCAATAGATATTTCTATTTCCACCCTCTCATTCTTTGTGCTCTTGTTGTCATAGCCTTTATTTTTATGTATTATGAATTTCACAATACACTGTTATTATCTTTGCTTTAAAAAGTCAATTCTTTTTCAAGGAAATTTTAAAAAGAGAAAATATTATTTTATATTTATCCACATATTTAGCACTTCTGATTTCTCTCTGGTTTTAATTTTCCTTCAGCCTGAGACGTCCTTTTGTATTTCTTGAAATGAAGTTCTTCTGGTGATAATTTTTTTCAATGTCTGTTTGAAAATTTTTTATTTCATATTAATTTATCAAAGGACATTATCATTGAATGTAGAATTCTAGATTGACTTCTTTTTGTTCTTTTGGCACTGTAAAATTCATTCTTTTCTAGCAGATATTTTTAAGTTTATTTCCCTGTAAGTAATGTGTCTTTTATTCTCTGCCTGCTTTTGAGATTCTTCTCTTTTTATCACTTGTTTTTAGCAGTTTAAGATGTGCTTTGGTATAGTTTTTTGGGGAGTCATCTTGCTTGCAATTTGTTGAGCTTCTTGGATCTATGAGTTTATAGTTTTCATCTAATTTGGAGATATTTCAGAAATTATCTTTCCAAATATACTTTTTCTGCCTTCCTGCCCTCCCTTTTCTCAGAAATTCAAATACATTTGTGAAAGTCTGCATAATATTATTCCACATATCGCTGAGGCCCTATTTTTTCTTTTTTCCTTCTATATGCTTCAGTTTGGATAATTTCTAATGCTATGCCTTCAAGTTTATTGATCTTTTCTTCTATAGTATCTAATCTATTCTTAAACCCGTCTGATTAATTTTTTCATTTCAGATATTGCATTTTTCAGTGTAAAAGTTCCAATTGTATTATTTTTATATGTGTCATCTCTCTCCTCATTATATTCATATTTTCCTTTACATTTTTTTTTCTTTTTTTTAGTTGGAGTCTTGCTCTGTCACCCAGGCTGGAGTGCAGTGGTGCAATCTCGGCTCACTACAACCTCTGCCTCCTGGGTTCAAGCGATTCTCAGCCTCCCAAGTAGCTGGGATTACAGGTGTGCACCGCCATGCCCAGATAATTTTTGTATTTTTAGTGGAGATGGGGTTTCGCCATATTGACCAGGCTGGTCTTGAACTCCTGACCTCAGGTGATCCGCCTGCCTCAGCCTCCCAAAGTGCTGGGATTACAGGTGTGAGCCACCGTGCCCGGCCTCCTTTAAATTTTTGAGTATATTTTAAATAGGTGTTTTAAAGTCCTTATCTGTGAATTTCATTATTGCTGTCATTTCTTGGTGTTTTTCTATTGATTCATTTGTCCTGTACTTTTTCCTGCTTCTTCACATGCCTATTAATACTTTTTTGTATATTGATTTTAGTATGCAAATTTTAGGCTTTAAATGTCTGCATTTAAAATTTTCTTTTCTTTTACTTGGATTTTAATTATGTAAATAAATAGCAACATGAGAATGAGGAGTTCTAAGGCTTGTTCATTATCTCTAGGTGAAAGGATTTCAGATTAGTTTGCTTGTAGGACAGCATCACTCAAGATAACAGAGGCCTAATATAGATTTTCCTGAAGAAGAATGCAAATTTAATACATTCAATACTGACTTCTCTGCCATTTTTCTGTAGAAGCCCTGGTTTATTGTAAGGAGATTCCAATGCTTACCTGTAACTGATTAAAATGGGCAAAGCATGGCATTTTCTTCTTATTTATAGGTGAATTCTCATTTCCTAGCTTTTGAAAGTGCTCCTTCCATGTATCTTCTATGACTATGTATCTTTGTAAACCCCAATCATATAATCTCTCCCCGCTGACCTGGGCAAACACAATGGCTTGTTGTGGATGATAGATAGAGGCAGCTAATGCTGTGAAACCAGGTGGATACACCAGCTTCTTTATGTTTGAACCTGTCTGTAGCCAAAAGGAGTCCAACAAGGCCAGCAAAATTATAGCACCAAGTCTTGGAAAAAAACCCAGAGGATACATTTTGGAGATATTCATAGCTGTCTAATCCCCACAAAACCAAACTTTGCATCTTGGGCTTAGTCTGGGAGTATGTTTCCTGACACCAACTTGTATGTGGCTCACGATAATGTCGGAGCTGAGAGATGCTTTCTTCCAGCTGGGTTCTTAACTCCTCCACATATTTATATTGACCCTTGGGAACTAAGTAGAATGAAAGCTCATCAGCCTTCATGGGATTTTTGGGAGGTAAGTCCTTTTTTGGAGCTGCATAGACTTTAAAGGTGAGCAAGCTCAGGCTAGCTGGCCCCATGGACCTCTGAATTGGCCTTGGGCATGTTTTTGGCACCAATGGCTCCAGAAGAAAATTTTTCTTTAAAGTGTTTGAATTTTGTTTTGAAGGGAGTTAGTTTACCTGTAGATTATCTTTATTCTTTTAAATCTTTTTGGAAAGCTTCGTCAGGGTGGGTCTAGGGAACCCTTTACTCTAGAGCTAGTTTAACCCTACCATTAAAGGATTATCCTTCTGGAGTCTCTAACAAGTGCCCCAGGTGTTCAATAAGGTTTTTTCACTTTGGTTGGTTGGAACTCAAATGTCTCCTAGTTCTTTTTTTTTTTTTTTTTCCTGAGGCAGAGTCTCGCTCTGTTGCCCGGGCTGGAGTGCAGTGGCGCGATCTCAGCTCACTGCAAGCTCCGCCCCCCGGGTTCACGCCATTCTCCTGCCTCAGCCTCCCAAGTAGCTGGGACTACAGGTGCCCGCCACCACACCCAGCTAATTTTTGTATTTTTAGTTGAGACAGGGTTTTGCCGTGTTAGCCAGGATGGTCCCGATTTCCTGGCCTCATAATCCGCTTGCCTTGGCCTCCCAAAGTGCTGGGATTACAGGCTTGAGCCACCGTGCCCGGCCCAAATGTCTCCAACTTCTGTGGGTGCTCTGGGAATTTTTCAGTTTATAGCTTTCCAGTGGTTCTTTAAAAAGCATTGTGAAGTTTCCCCTTAAAAATGTTCAGAAGTCTGTGAGTCCTACACAGACTCCTTGAGCTCTTCTTTCCTTCCTTCCTCGCTTCCTTCCTTTCCTTCCTCCCTTTCTCTCTCGCTTCCTTCCCCCGTCTTTCTCCTCCCTTCCTATCTTCCTTCCTCCCTTCCTTCCTCCCCTCCTCTTTTCCTTCCTTCCTCCCTCCCTCTCTTCCTTCTTACCTCCCTTCCTCTCATTCTTTCTTACTTCCTTTCTCCCTTCTTGCTTCCTTCCTCCCTTCCTTCCTTTATTTTTCTATCTTTTCTTCTTTCTCTCCTTCCCTTCCTTCCTTATTCCCTTCCTTCCTTCTTCCCTTATTCCCTTCCTCCCTTCCTTTCTTCTCCATTCCTTCCTTTCTCTCTCTCTTTATTTTATTTCCCTTTCTTTCTTTCCTTCCTTCCTTCATTCCTTCCTTCCACAGCTCTATTCTCTAAGTTCTTTGCTCTACAAATTACAATTGCCTCAGCCTCCCCACTCCCCGTCCCCTCAGATAGTCCAATTTTCTAGTTGTTTGCAATAGGAGGACAAGTCCAGTACCAGTTATTCCATCATAACTAGCAGGAGAAGTTTCAGTTTATATTTATCTTATTGAGTATTCACGGACAATCTTATTTCATCTATACTTCTACCCCATTCACCCCCCTGCTAGATGGAAACTACCAATTTTAAATTGATGGTGGACAGGATGATTGCAAACTCAGTCATGAGTAGCTGAAGTAGGATACCTCTTGAAGGCTATGTGCCACAGATACTGCAATGTGCAATGTGGGCATGAAGAACTCTGATCCTGCCTTCAAATCCATGATTCAGTTTACAATCCATAAAGATACATTTTGTTTATTATTTCTAAAATATTTGAATTCACACTCAATTCCAGTGTCAATTGCTATGAAGCAAATTTATTAAACGAATATTTATTTGGTTCTTCTTTTAGAAAGCCAAACATACTGAATTTGAATTACAGGTTCTTAGCATAGGTACCAATTAATAGTCATCTAAATGTTATATTCTTGCTAGTTACTCATGTGGCTTAATTGGTTGAATAGCTGTTTGGCAAGTCAATTTAAAGAGCTATTAATTCATCATTGTGACACCTATTATTTGGATATTATCCAAATTAAGACATTTTATTAGCTAATGTTCCTCCCTTAACTATTTTAATTGCCTGCAATAAGTGAACTAAACATTTCTACATGTTAAAATTTCCCAAAGCAGTTTTAGAAGGCTACAGAATATACTATAAATGGCAAAAAGCATTAAACACCCTAGCCAAAACACTGACCTATTGTAAACACCTGATAAAAACACAAGAGACTTGTATATTCTGTCAATAGAAGTGACATTACAGTACACTTTTCTTCTAGGAATGTGAATGCTAATGTTATTAAGAAAATTGCTTTTTCTTTTTCTTTTTTTTTTTCCTACTTTCTTAGTAAACTCAGGTGGCACTATAATATGAGTAATGGTATTTTATTTTACGTTAGAGGGGTAATGCTGGCAATGAATGGAAAAACTTAAGAACTCACAGTATTCTTCCACTTTAGCACAAAACTAGTATGGCAATATAGTATAATAAAAAGATCACTAGAATTTTTCATTCTAACTGCCAATACGTTGATGGCTTTGGTTGAAATATAGTTCATTCATTACTATGAATTCAATAAAAAAAGATTTTTTTCTCCACATAGCTGACACTAGTCACAGGAGAATGAAATTGGCCCTGACGGGAATAAAGTAGTTCATTCACTAGAGATGTGAACTGTTTCTGGAGGCAGGAATGTCATCATGGGTTTCAAAGGCATAATTCGTGGTTTTTAACATGAGACTCAATGCCACCATTTTGGTTTTTTTATTTTCTGGATTTTATTTCTGTTTATCCTCCAGTTTTTAAAATTATTTAAATTTATTTTAAAATTTATATACAATAAAACTCACTTTTTTATTGGTGTATATGTCTATAATGTTTGACAACTGCAAGTAGTCATGTAATTACCACAATAGTCAAGATTCACAGCGGTTAACATTGACTTCCCCCAAAAAAATTCCTTCATGCTACTCCTATGTAATCAAACCCTCCCCCAAACCTTTAGTCCCTGATGACCGTTGATGTCTTCCCCATTCTGTTGATTTTCTAGAATGTCACATAAATGGAATCATAGAGTATATAGACTTTACAGGATGAGCCAAAGCTGCCTTTTTATAACAGATATTCTGCTCTTATCTCTTTATAATCTTCAAATAGAATCCGTAAATAATATTTATCTACTTTGACAAATATAAATACAAAAAATCAATATACTACTCTAACATAAATAAAAGAAGCAAAAATTCAATTAATAAAATAACAGGTATTCACAATGAAAATGGTTGAGCACAAGTGAAGTAATGAAATGCTTACATCTACTTTGATGGAAAAGTTTTCATTTTAAGGGACGTAACAAGATCAGAAGCTGTTCTGCATTAAAAAATACAGGAAAATAAAAAGAAAAAAACAGAGGTGTGATGATGTGATTTTTATGAAATATGAACAATTCTTGGTAAGGATCAGAACAAAACCAAGTAGGATTTTACTTTCTTACTTTTCAGAGAATCTTATTATCCACAAGAGTTGTAGTTCTGGAAAATTTAGTGTACATGTCTGTAATCCCAGCTTCTTTGCTGAAGCAGGAGAATTGCTTGAATCCAGGAGGCGGAGGTTGCAGTGAGATGGCACCATTGCACTCCAGCTTGGGCATCATAGCGAAACTCTGTCTCAGGAAAAAAAAAAAAAAAAAAAAAAAAAAAAAAAGGTGTGTTTTTTAATGCAAAATGCAGTTAGGTTTCTAGCTTTCGGCTATGTATGAATAGGTTTTTCATCTACACGAATCTCCACTGGGGCAATCAAAAAATGTATAGACTTGGGACAATTCCAGTATGGTCTTATCTCAAGCATAGCAGGACATCTACCATCCCTGGCTTATACCTGTAAGAGCCCAAAGTACTCTCCAGTCTCAACAACCAAAAAATTTCTAAAATTCTTCCTGGTGGGCTACAGTTGAGACCCACTGGCCAAGATGAAGTATCTCTTTTGCCATCTAGTAATCTCATGCCGGATAATCATCCTGGATTAATGTTCGCCAATCTCCTGATTACCAGTTGAATTTCTCAGATAAGTTCACACTAGGAAAGGAATATCTTGAAGTGCTACTTTCGTGTTCTAGTCTCTAGAAATAGATTTCCCATATTGCATATTGTATTGTTTATATTTATTTATTTTCTCTAAACTATAATGTTTTGACAGCTTAAAAATGTTTCTTATTGTAGAGAGACTGCTCCTCCTGGGGCCAAGATAATTCATAGAAATAGCAAAAAGAACATGCCTTTGATATGCAAACCAACCATTTCAGAGCCACACCTCGTCTTTGTTACCCTTACATCCTAGGAAGAAATATTCTTTTCCTTTAATCATTGCAGGGCTAGGTACCAGGCAGCTAAGGACTATCCTTAAAGTTTGGAGCCTCCTGAAATTATTCAAACAGCCAATCCTAGGCTGTTTGCCCTGCCTTGCCTCTCCCATGGAAGCTCCAATAAAGGCCATAGCCTAGGCTCTCCCTCACATGTGACCTTGTGTGGCTTGCTGAGCCTCCTGTTTCTGAGCCCTGTGAGTATAATAAATTTTGTTTTCCTGAGCTTCTCTTGTGTCTCATCTTGTAACTGCCACTGACTGACCACACATAAAGACACAAAATAGAGATTAATAAATAATCATTTTTGTTTATACCAGTTCTGAGTATTTTTTAGCCTGAAACAATCTCTGTCGTCCTGATCAACTTGGAAGTTAATAAGACTAGATTCATCTGCACAAAACTAACTTCTTAGTGTTAACTCTGCCAAGGTATTGTCCCCTCATTAGGTCTTCCTTTCATAATTAGCTGATCTCCCTTGAAATGTTGAAGATTTCCTTTTAAAATTCTGTAATTACATATTTTCTAAGAAGAAGGTTATCACTGGCACAAATGCTCTTCAGTATTTATCTGAATGAAGCCAGTCACACAATCTGGTTATTGTTTGATTTCCCATACATGGAAAGGAAATGTATCATGTTCAGATGGTCCAGGGCAAAATGCCTCAGCAAACTTGAGTATTCTCAAGAATGACTGCAAGACACAGAATTCAACACCTTTTTTTTTTCTTTTCTTGAGACAGAGTTTCACTCTTGCCCAGGGCTGGAGTGCAATGGTGTGATCTCGGTTCACTGCAACCTCCGCCTCCCGGGTTCAAGCAATTCTTCTGCCTCAGCCTCCCGAGTAGCCGAGATTACAGGCATGCGCCACCATACCTGGCTAATTCTGTATTTTTAGTAGAGAGGGGGGTTTTCC